GACAACAGACAACACAGAACAGTAAATAAGATAAGCATTTAGGAATGTTGTAAGTAAGTCACAAAATCATAAATTAGTAAATTGAGAGGTGCTTGACACTGGAGCTGTTCAACTGCCAATGTTGGGAGCCCGTGGCATCATTAGTATTGCACTACTCTCTGTACACCTGTGTAATTGGGAAACATGGGACTCATTGGGAAAAACTGCTCACAGGTTACTAGAAAGGATTTCACCTCCCATTTCTGTGGAATCCTGCAGGATTCTGGCAGCCCCATCACCTGGCCTGCACCTGCAGAGAGCTGCTCCCTTGGTGTGTGTTTGTTTAGCTGCCCACCAGTGCTGCCCCAGGAGCCCACTCAGCACTCTGCAAGCCATGGAAGTCCCCAGGTGACCTGCAGGGACACTGCACCAGCTCCCAGGGCCACTGTGCCAGCCATGTGTGGTCATGGCATGTGGCACATTACCTGCACCACTTACCTGAGCGAGGAGCAGACTTGCAGCTGAACTCTCAGCAGACATCAAATAACTTTAGTATTTTTTTTCCTTCCTGAGGCAAAATGAAACTGCCCAAAGCACGTCATAAATGTGGCAGGGCAGTGGGGCCTCGTTCACAAGGATGAGGGTGAGGAGACCCAGCTCTGCAGCATTCAGTGCCTGTGTGCCATGGCTGCTTCTCCTCACAGCAGGCAGAGCAGGGATGTGGTTGTGGACCTGTGCCTGCAGGTACACAAAAACACAGCTCAGAGAGGTCTGCTCTGAGTGTCCCAGCATGAGAGGAGCTGTCAGGCTTTTCTTTCATGGGCATGCAGCTGGGATGCCAGGAAAGCACTGCTGGCAGCAGGCAGAGCTGAGAAATGTGGGCTCCAGCTCCCAGCCCTGCCTGGAGTGGCTGTCAGAACCCTGCCTCAGAGGATGCCACATTTACCACACAAGCACCAATGAAAACTCACAACTCTGTAAGAAAAGCAGCTTCATTCTTAATTAAATCTCTCATTTAAGAGTACCAGTCTCCATCTAGTTCACCAACAAGGCCATTCAGAAGCAGTAGGGGGCTGGCCCTCTTCCTTTCACAACCCAGCAGACCTTCATGCAGGTACCTTGAGCAGCAAACTCCTGCACAGACAGCAGCTCCTGCCCAAGGATTAACACAGGTGTCACAGCTCCTCCCCTCGGGGCGCTGGGCTTTGAAGAACTCCAAGCATCTTGTTTTATGTGACTGTGACATCAATCCCCTGAGCACATTTTCCAGTCTAACTACAGAATTGGAAGAAATCTCAATTCAAGGTCCTTTTTCTTGGTAACAAAGGATCTGTAAAGCAGAGCTGCTTTCAAAAGAAAACCTCCTGGCTGAACTTCCAGATAACATCCCAGGAGCAAGCTGACATCTTTTTAATCACTCCTCCAAGTCAAGACACAAGGAGGTGAAGATCTATTCAATAAGCAGAAGGTCACTTTTTCTTTCTGGAAGGATGGAGGGTTGTCCAACAATGAGAAGCAAAGACTAAATTGAATATAACTGATTATAACAAAAAGCAACCAGACAAAAAAACTGCCTAAATTCTCAGTCATCCTCTAGTAGGGCTGCTGTGCCCACTGGGATTTCTTTCTCCATATCTTTTATGCTGTTTCCACTTATCTGCCAGCTGAGCTAGTCAAGTTTGGGGCCAAAACAAGACAATCAAAACTCTCTGCTTCATGTTGTTAATTTTATTTTACCTGAACAGGCAGCTGAAGGTACAGCTACACCTAGAAATGGGTATTTCTACAGCAGGATCACTGAAAAAACTGCATGGCCCTGGGATAGCAGAACTTCCTGAGGCAAGCAGAGCACTGACCATGTAAGAAACACAGACCAGGAAACATCCCACAGAAAAAGCAGCATTACAGAGGGGGAGGCAAAGTTCCCAGGAAATGGTGTGAAATGCTATCAGAAAACACAGGAACTAAACCTTAGCAACGAGGACGTGAAAGGAAAGAAGAGGAAACAAAGAACTGCATACAAAGGGAAAAAAAATCCCAGGAAGTTCTACAATTACCCAAGTGAGGAAAACTGTTAAAATGCAGCATTTGGAGAAAACAGTTGGATACAGGGAAAGACATCAGCTCCAGATGGAACAGCACAGTCCTGAAACTGAGCTGTATCTAACCCAGAAGTTGAAAAGAAATTGAGTTTTCATGTCAGATGTGGAGCACTGCCTTAACATTGGGGTGGGAAAGGCCAGGACTACAGGCACAACCTCCTTGTGGGAGAATGATCAATGAAGAAAAAAAGGAAAATTTTGCAGGGAAACACTTCTAAGTCAAAGAAGGAGAAAGAAAAGACTTTTTTGTGACCATGAATACCAGTTTTAGAAAAGCCTAGTCTTGGCCTATGACTTTGTTAGAACACAGAAATGGAATGACAAAGGCAAGAGGTTTTACTAGAGAGGAAGTCAAACTCACTAATAATCAAAAGCTGCACAAGTGTCAGAAATAAGGATTTGTCTACTGCAGTGGCACAGCCCCAAATAGAATCATGGAATCAAGGAGTGGTTTGGGTTGGAAGGGATGTTAAACCTCATCTTGTTCCAACCCCCTGCCACAGGCAGGGACACTTTCCGTTAGATCAGGTTGCTCCAAGCCCTGTCCAGCCTGACCTTCAGATCTTCCAGGGATGTGACTGTGTGGTGTCTCTTTCCTTTTCTAATTTTTCCCTGTTCTGGTGTGTTACCCCTTCTCATTAATTAGCTTATCATCTTTGCTTTACAGCTTATTTTATTTTATAGTGAAACACTTCACCAGCTCACAGAAGGAAACAGTTTAATGTAGGAGATTGCATGTATGTCACTTCCAGTTCCACAGGCTCTTCTGTCAGGTTTGGAAGAAGGCATGTCTACCTTGGTCACTGATCCCACCTCAGCACTCCCTGGGGCAGTGGGGCAGAGCTGACCTGCTCACCAGGAGACAAGCACTGCTCATTACTTACAAAAACCAAGGAGAGACTCAGAGGCAGGAGGAGCTGGCAGCGGTGTCCAGGAGGTGCTCACAGCACAGCACAAGGTGCAGCTCCCAGCAGGAGTCGGCAGAGCTCCTCAAAGAAGCCTTCGAGGAGGAGCGGCTTTTCTGCAGCACTGCCACCCTCCGGCCCCAGGGAAAATTCCCTCTTCCTGGCAGAGAAAAATCCCGGAGCCCTTGGGTTTATCCCCTTTCCCTCCCACCAGCAAGGAGAGAGCTGGCAGCAAAGCTGGATGGGAAAGTTCCCATGGGTAAGCAGAATCTGCACAGCAAACCCTTGGGATCAGCAGCTTGGAGGAGTTGCAGTCTGGCTGCCAACACAATTTGGGGGCACCAACGTGGCCAGTTCATCCAAAGACCCCAGACAGCACCTCAGAGCTCTGATGCCCATGGCTAACAAATGCAGAAGCAGGAGACAGGTAACTTGCATCCCTTCTGTTAGATAAACTTTCTTTCTGGGTTTAGGGGTGCATCCTGTCCAGCAGTCTGGAAGATTCTATCCCAAGTCCCCAGAATGGCACATGTGAAGATCAAGAACTCCACAAGGCAGTTGTGACTCTATTTAGCTCCGAGGGAAGTTCCCTTTCTTAATTCCCCCTGCTGGTTCACACAGGTTATCAGACATCACCAGTAAGTGATGCACAGGCAGGTGAACCCCAGGCTCTCCTGTCACCAAAAATAATCTTTAAAAATGCTGCTGAGAGGTTGAATCTCATTTAGTAGAAGACAGCTCAGCACAGGAAGTCTGCTTGCAGAGCAACCCAAAGAGGAGACACCCTCAATGAGCACGATCCAAAATCTGAGACAGATGGCAGCTGTTATTAGAAAGGGTCAAACACTGTTTTCCTGTTTGTGGGCTTTTAATTACAATTTTCACAATAATTTACAAATTGGTTGTTACGCACACTTATGTCCATTTAGTAATGAAAACTGTGAGTTAATTCAGCTCTCAGTTGAGGAACTGCTGTAAAGATGCCCTTGCTGAGGGCTGCTCTCTGCTTTGTGCTCTACAGGCAGCCAAGCGAGTTCCTCACGCTGAACCTGCCCAACCTGCCCGCCCTCCCCAGGCTGCTCCCGAGCTCCCTCTGCTCGCACCAAGGGGAGGACCTGGAAGTTTCCAAGCGCTGAGGGCGGGGAGTGACAGCTCAGCGGCGCGGGGCTCAGGTGTGCCTAAGGCAGGATGGGGAGGGAGCATCCCAGGCCTGAGCAGGGCAGCAGTGCAGCCTTCCCCAAGGATCCCCCTCCAGGGAGCCGGTGGCTGCAGCCCACAGCTCAGCACAGCTCTGGCCCCTGCTTGGAAGCCCAGAACAAAGACAGAAGCAGCTGAGGAGCACTGCAAAGTGCCCTGGCACAATACTCCATGACAGCTATGCCAGCCTTACCAGTGCCTCCTGTCTGGGCGTTAGGAATTCACCCACTGGATACCGTTCAAAGGAGGGAAAGAGATGAAGACCTGAGCCCAAAACACAAACAGAACAGATCAACACTGGAGAGTTCCAGGAGTTCAGCTATGTTAGTCCTCAGCAGAGGAGAGGAAATACATCAAAGGTACTACAGCCTTGAGTTTTCCCACCCAAGCTGTTGCAATCATCTCAGTAATTCACCTCAGGAGAGAACTTGCTTTCCAGTCAGACAGACTCTGTTTGCCTTTTACTTCCAGTCACTTCAAGCTGATTCAGCTTTGTGCCTTCTTGGAAAGAAGAAGTCAGCAGCAGTGTTTCTCAGAGAAATGCAATACAGCAATTTAAACCTGCAGCCAGTCTGGCCTGTCAGAAAAAGTGAAGGCAGAGCAGGTGGGGACTGCAATGAATGCCCCAAGAGTTCTGCTGAAGGAAGGAAAGTCAGGGATTTCTCTCCAGAAGAGCATGGGAAGTGTTAAACCTCGCACCTCACACATGTCGGAGTTTTCCCCACACTGAGCTCTTTCACAAAGACGTCCCCCACAATGCTTTTACAGGAGTGGAACCGTTATCCTGACAATCAGATCACCCATTCTCAGATAACTTAGATAACTTATATTTAATGTGTGAAAATAAAGGGAGTACTTCACAGCAGTCCCTGGAGAGAAGAGAAAGGACTGTGGTGAGCAGTCCACTGACAGAAACTGCTCCCTGGAGTTCCCTTCCCCCTTGCCTTCCTCCCCTCTCCGAGTGCAGTAACTCAATCCACAACTGAACTCTCCTGGGGGAATCTGGGGCACAAGAGGCTGCAGCTCCTTTCCAAACGAATTCGTTTCATTTCTTTATTTTAAAGTCCACTGATCATCATCATCATCATCATCATCATCACAAAAAAACCCCATGGGAAATGCAACTAAAGAGAAAAAGTCCAACCAAGACCTAAGAACCCAGAGCTAGGAGCAGATGTGGCCTGCGTGGCACGGCACCGGCGCGAGGAGACGGCCCCGCGCGCCGCAGTTGTGTGGCCAGAGCTGGGGTCCTTTATGTCAACCTCTGCACAATGACAGCGTTGAGCAGGTTGGCTTCCTTCAGGGTCTGGTTCTCATCAGTCAGCTCTTTATTGGGGAAGGTGGTCATGAGGACGAAACTGGTGGCAGCCATCGCTGGCCGAGCATCTGCGATGAAGAGCCGGATGTCACGGATCCTGTGCAAAGGGATCAAACACAAGGGTGGTGCTGTCACTGCACAGCCTGGACAAGGGACTGCTCTGCCCAGAGTGTGCCGCCCTGCAGCTGTGTCTGTACTGCAGCTCTCACCAGGCCACACCAGGCTATTCTGATTCAACCTGCTCCCATTTAGCGGAATAGCAGCAGCTGCTTTCTGGGCTACAGGCTCAGCTCGGTGTTCTCTGTGTGTGTTGTCAGGGGGTTATCTGAGACTGAAAGCCTCCAGACCCTTTGCTATGAACAATTAACAAACTGACACTCTCTGAGCTTGTCACACACAGCAGAACCCAGAGGATTTCAGCTCCTGTCAGCGGCCACACAGTGACACAAGATCCATTTCTGGAACTCAGTCACAGGCACAGGTGTTTTGAACTTTTTTCCCTGAGCTTGACCCTGATAGAAACTGGAGGAATGAGTATAAATTACAAGATCAGGAAGGTGAGAATGATTTAAAGAGATTTCAAATGAAGCAATGGCGTACCTAAGCCAACTTTGCTCATCTAAAGAACAGAACTGTGGTAACAGCATCCCTTGGTGCTCCATTCAGCACAGGAAACAGCTTCATAGAAAAGCCTAAATTGAGTCAGAGTAACTGAACCAGGCTCCTAATTATCTGCTAGTTTCCAAAGCCTTTAGAAGAAAATCAGTTTTTCACAGGTGACATCAAGGAAAGTTCTGTGGGTAACACTTATGCTCCCAGGTGTTGTGTCACTGGCTATAATCTATCCCAATTTGGGAAGCAAATCCTACCCAACAGTTAGCAGCTAACTTAAAAACACCACAACAACTTTATTCCCTTTCACTTGTACAGAAGGATGCCCAGAGCTCCTTCTGGCAGGCTATGCAGCATTTTAGCACTTGCTCCCTGCCTTGCAGGGCCATCTATGCCTGGCCTGTGCTCCCTGTTGTGCTCGTACCTGTGACTGTGGTTGAACTTCTGCACCAGGCGCCCGCCGTCCGCCAGCCGGATCTGGATGTTGGTGATGGGCTCTGACTCATCGATCACGATGGCAGAGCTGGCTTTGGCCTCGTTCTCTGCCTGCTGGGCCGGAGAGCTGGTGCCCATCACCTGGGGCGCAGTGCTGCCAACAGGGAGACGCAAGGTGAGCTGTTAGAAACCAAACTCACCTGCCCACAGGGTACCAATCAGGCAGCAAGCTCACTGTCTGCCAGGCCCAACTACCAGGGCTCTTCCACAAGCAAGCTGCAAGTCAGAATTCTGGAGTCAGCCAAGCAGGAACTTGTCTAGAAGTTCAACTCTACCATCCCCTTTGGTGCCACGGGTCCTCACACCCACAAGTTAACAGGGGAAGCGTGAATTGTAAACACTGCTCCAATGCAACACAGCATGGAGGTTGCAAGCCAGGGATCTGGCTCCTGGCAGGGAGAGGCTGAGCCACCTCACAGTACGTCAGTGAGCCTTGTTTCCTTAGAGGAACAACTCCCATCCCACAGGCACCCAGCACCTTTACTTCAGAAGGATGAATCAGAAGGCTCCACCTTGCAAGGCCTGAGTGACTCTCACATTACATGTAGTAAACCAGTGTCACCATCTTCTCACCTGCCCAGCTTCTGTCCTTCTCCAGTAAAAGCTCTGAAGACACTTTTAGGTTTCACATACTCCTCATCACGGTGATCCTCCATGTCCAGGTTCACCTGTCCGCCCCGTGCTAACCTGCGCAGCTCAGCTGGGACTTCCCTGCAAAGAGAGAGCTCTAAGGCAGAGCCTGAGGCAGCAAGGCAGGAATGTGTAGACAAAAAGCCCAAGATCTGTGGAATTTCAGGAATCACAGAGAGCCTTTGCTTAACTGACAGGCCAGATGCACACCTCCCCACTGGCAGACACAAATTAAAGGTTACTTCTCCCTGGCCCTCACCTGCTGTGACACTGCATCAGAAATTTCTCAACACAAATATCAACATGTTTGTTTACTTCAGCTCTCAAGGCCCCACATAAATCAAACCCATTCCCTGTTTACCTGAACCAAATGTTCCATATTAAGAGTAACTAATTTCTCACAAGAAAGCTCAGGTGAAATGTGCCATAGATTCAGAAGCCTGGATTCCACAAACACTGGTGTTTCAGGGAGCAGCTGTCCCTTTTCTCCCCTCTCACTACGTACCCTCTGCGGATATCATCGAGGAACTGGGCATTGGATGGATCCTGGTAGCTCCTCAGTTCTCCACTATCCAGGCTAAATCCACTCTTCCAAAGCTTCAGTACAACGTGCACCTGCAGCAGCCCCAAAAGAACAATCAGCCTCACTGAGCTTCTTGGTGACAACAAAAACTGAGGCAAAGTGAAAAGTTTCAGATGGGCAGAGAAGCTTCAAGGTGCAAAAACATTCCAGCAGGTTTCTCTGAGGTAAGGAAAAAACCCAAAGCACTGGCTTTTATGTAATGGTCAGGTGTCAATTCCTAGAAAATGGCACCATGGTCCCCTTTTGGATAAATATGGCTGAAGAGCCAGGAATGTGGTGGGTGAGGAGCCTAAACCAGGCTCCCACCACAGCCACGACCTTGTCTGGTCACAAACCAAGCACAAGGGAATCTTGAACTGATGCTGTCAGCTCCCATCTATGGGTGTATATTGGATGTATATAATAATGGATGAAGAAGAGTTGATTTCCCAATGCTCTTTGCACACTATTTTTCCTGATCTGCAGTTCTAAGAAAAGCTCAGATTCTTAATTAAAAGATCACCAGAAAACTGCTTACCCAAGACCTAATCATCTATTATTCTCTACTTGGAAATCCCACAGGAAGCAAGATTTACCATATTTCTGTCCTTGTGAATTTCTATCAAGCTTTGTATCTCTCAGGGCTAGCAAGCTCAGTAGCTGGAGCAGAGAAATCCCTGGAGTGACAGCTACAAAGCCAAGCAGAGATACTCACATCCTGAGAAGAGCTCGGTCTCCTCTCTCCTGCCACATAAGCTGACTCCTCCTCTGGAGTAGCCCCAAGGCGATATCCTCCCCCTGCAAAAGGCTGTGAGAGAGAGGCAGGCCCAGGGTTACAGAACCACACAGACCAAAGAGCTGCTTCCCTGCTCCCACCACCCCTGTGGCTGAACAGGGCCTTCATGGCATCAGCAACATCTCCTGCCCTGCAGGCAGTGACAGCTTCAGCAAGTTAATAAATGTGGCACAACAGAGCAGCTTTTCTTGTCACCGTGACACACAAAATGGAGCTGCACTAAGAGAGGAGTCCAGACTTAGCTGCTGAGATAATTCCAGGACTCCTCAGTACCAAAGAGCTGGCAGGGTGGAACAGAAATGGGGGACAGAAGGAAGAACTCCTCCCTCCTCACCTTTGGCTTGCTGGTCTCGCCGCCGCTCTTGGCTGTCCGATCGACGGCCACGGCGCCGTGCTCCTTGGCTCCCTTGAACAGATCCTCCACCAGCTCGTTGGGACTCTTCTTCCTCGGAGGACCCACGATCTGCTGCCCACTCCTCTCTGAGCCACCGGCATAAAACCTGACAGAAAGCACCCAGCTCCTGGTCAGCCCTGCCTGCTGCCTCTGCAGGAGCCCCGGGCTGGATCAGGGCTCGCTTGGTGCAGCTCATGAAACCCCCTGGATCTGCAAACACTGGCTACCACCAGCCACGTGCAAGCTCCTGTGCTGCAAAGACTTTATGTCAATTCCTGTAAATTACCCGTGGATCAATAGCAATAAAGTGGTAACAATGCTCAGAGCTGGGAGGAGGAACAGCCCAGAGGGACAAGCCCAGTTTTAAACACCGGTTCCAGCTCGGTTACCCAGCTGAGCAAAGCTTGCAGCAAATCTCTGACCTGGCAGAGCAACGTGCAGCTGGAATTGTGAGGGAAGGCACACGTCCATGCCACACAAGGGATGGATCTCAACTGGAAGCAATGCATGCACAGTCAGTGAAGTGCAATTAAGCACTTCTGGAAGATTTGGTTTATTAGCTTCCAGATGGCTTGTAACACACAGAGCGAGCTCCCAGCTGCCTGCAGACCAGGGCCCATCCAGGCTGAGCCACCCCTTCAGATACATCAGTTCCATTCCATTTACCTTGCCTGTCAGCCTTAAGGGTATTTAACTACTTAGAGCTGATACTGTAAAAGATTGGCCTACTAATACTCCATGTTCCTCTGAAAAGGGTCCCTACTTTTTTATTTCTGACTCCACACTCCCTTACCTTTCCCTTAAGCAACACTTAAAAAAAAAAAAAAAAAAACACAAAGCCAAAAAAAAAAAAAAAAAAACACAAAGCCAAAACCCCCACCAAAATAAACCCCCAAAACCCCAAGCAGTAAGAAAACCAATCCCTGCATAATTCCCACATTTCCTGTGGACACAAATAAGGATCTGGGCTGTTTTCTATTCTTAACCCAGGCCTTCCACATCCCACTCTAGGCTTTCTCTCAGTGCTGAGAGCTGGTGCTTACACAGCTGTGCACAGGCTTTGCACTGACCAACCTGCCCTGACAAACCTCAAATGTTTCAAGACAAGAACTTCATATCCATGTAAACCTGATTCTTTCAAAGAAGCTGTACACAAGCAGCAAGTCCTCCCAGAAGGACAAACACCCAGCATTGGAGCCTTCAGCTGCAAACTCACCGCTGTCCCTCCTCCTCTTCATCATCCTCCTCCTGAGCATGCACAAGGTCTCTGAACGAGGTTACTCGGTGGTCACTGCAAAAATCCAGCAAGAAGGATGTCAGCCTCCATGCACATTCCCAGCTGGAACATTCCACACTGCAACAGGCTCCTTCTGCAAGGTGGGCTCTGTTCAACAGCACCTGACCCCAGAGAACTTTTCCTTCGTGACAAAGGCAGCAGCTCCTCTTTGGGACTGGACAGCATTCCCTTACTGCAAAGGGATTTGCTAAGGTAAAATTCACTTTTTTGTTTTGTAAAATGCTCAGCTTGATCAGCTCAGTTGTCACACAAAATGAGAAAATACTCTTCCTGCTGAGATACGATCTGCTTAAATGAAAGGTCACTATCAGACTGTTTTTAATGTCAAAAGATAAATCAAGCTTTTCCTGAGCAATGAGGCAAGTTTTCCTAACTGATCCCTGGCTTAGTTGTGCAATAACAGCCATGCCTGTGATGTACAAACACTCAGGTTTTCACAATTTCTAGAGAGCCACACAAGGGGAAGCAAATCTAAACACAGAGCTACTCCTCCTGAAAATGAACACAATTAACAGTGCTTTAGGGAGTGTGTGTGCTTTGCCAGCTTCCCAGTATGGAGCTGAAGCTGCCTCCTCACCTGGCTCCAGTGCCTCTGGAGATGGAGCTGGGCGTGGGCTGGGGAAGGGTCAGGATGTCTTCGTCACCGCCGTCCTCATAGAAACTGGCAAGTGCAATCTGGAAAGGAAATCCACCAAAGCTCGTAAGGAAAAACACACAAACAACCCAGCTGAGACATCTGTCACGCTGCTTCTCCTGAGACTCCTCACACTAAAGACACTTCATGCCATTCCCCCTGCTGCAGGTCCTGGCAGAGACGAGGCCTCAGAGGGTTTGCCATTTGGCTGTGTCATGGCAGGACACTCAGTGCTGCAGGGATGTCACCCTCCCTGTCAGGGAATGTCAGGGCCCTTCTTCTGCAGCACTTACACAGGATTATGCCAAAATTACTGCTCTGAAACTGCAGCTTTTGTGCCGTCATGAGCAGACTCGGAATTTAACACAGCCAGTTTGAGGAGGAGCAGGGACAGGAGCAGGTCAGAATGGTGGCTGACTCCCCCTCAGATTGTTTGCTGACAG